GGACTGACTCTGGACAGCTGTGTCTTGAACCTTGTGTTACCTTCCACGATTTATCAAGCCTCGTGTAAATAAGAGGCTTTTAGTCTAACCTAGGAATATAGGATTAAATAAACTTCTTGGAGCCTGTATTAAATCAGCTAGCTGCAGGGGCCTGGGACCAAAGCGACCTCCTGCTGACCCTCCCTTAGGAATTTTCTTTGTCCTCTCCTCACTCCTCCTGCTCCCCCTCCCTACCTGAAGCCCTGTTTATAAGCTCTAACACCCAGTCAATAAAGGAGACCTTGACGCAACTCAGACTGACTCTGTCTTTCTTCACGCGCTTGGTCTCCTTTCCCTCTCGCCCCCCCCCCATTGATTCACAGGTGGTCCCTCCTTGAGACCCTCGAATAACCTGGCCTGCTGGATGGGTCAGAACAGCTGGAACCATTTGGCTCTAATCAGCACAGAGAAGGGTACCCTCCACAGTCAACACATTGCATCGGTGGGTACAATTCAGACACAGAAAAATTTAAAGGTGATAAAATAGGACAGTAATAAAGAAAGGGGACATCTTAGATAAGAAATAGAATTTTATAACTTAAAGGTAGAAATACCCATGAAAAACTAAGATCAAATAGGACTCTTAAACAACTACCTAGTACACATACAACATCACTGTTTTTTTTTTTGTTGTTGTTGTTTTTTAACATACCAACAGGAGGATGCAGAGAAGTCAGCAGACCACTCACAGTGTCTAAAAATATCTTGGACTCCCTGGTGGTAGCAATTATATTGTCAAAATGCTATGCAGGCTGGAGAAGGGGCAGAGTTATCAATGGCCATACCCAGATTTGGATCCTGTGTGCTATAATTACAACCTGCCAGGCAAGAAATGTCCACTGGTGTCATAGTAGCTATTGGGGACTATGGGGGTCTAGCCCCTTGATAGTCCCCTCCCAGGGTCCGGGAAGAATCTACAACCAGCTGATAATTAATCTTTGATGAAAAGAAATGAATCTATGTACACAAAACTCCTTAGTTCATACACTTTATTATTCTGTGATAGTTCTCTCTCTGCACATCATCTATTCTGCTCTCATGTCTAGCTCCTTCCTTGCCTGATTTCTCTCTATATTTATCTACTGTCCCTTCTAGGTTCTATCTTAGTCACTTCATCTAATTCTGTCCCTTCTAGGTTCTCATCTATCTAATTCTTTCCCCTATCAGCTCCTCTCCCATCTCCTTCTCTCTCTTATGGCTCTACCTCATCTTGTTCTTCCCCATCTGGCTCTTCCTCATCTTCCATCTCATTCCTCTAGTACTGTCTTCTAGCCCTTCAATCTAGTTCTTCCCCCATCTCAGTTTGTTCCTCTCAAGTTCTTACCCATTTAGTTCCTCCATTCTCTTTTCTCTTCTCCGTCCTGTGCCCTAGAAGTCCCGGTATATAAAGGGAGGGTCCAAGCTAAATTGTGTAAAGTTATTACTTAACGTCCACTTCTCCTAGGCGGTGTCTCCTTGTGGAATTTAAGTCAGAAGACTTGCATGTGGGCTGTTATCATTGTTAGTCCTTGGAAGTTGGGCACCCACCTGGGTGATGTTTCCTGTAGTCCTTGAAAGTGGCTAAGGGAGATATCTGATTCCAGAGAAAGCCTTTCCTGAGGCTGTTCTCCAAATACCTGGAATGTGTATGTCCAGAGAGTGATCAGTCTACACTGTTAGTCCTTCTTAGGGGAAAGTCAATTGGGAAAACTATGAAGGCACACATGATTTTCATAACAGCTGATATATAACAAGCCAAGTAACACAAAAAACTCCTTGGAATTTGGCTTCCTCTGGAGGAATTCCCTGATCCCTCCAGGTAGTGACTTTGCCATAACCAGCTGAGTTCTTATTATATATTCCTGCGGCCTGCAGCAAGTAGCAAAACTATTTTTTATGTAACAGAAGGCTTTCTGGTTTGATCTGAAGCAGGCTCCATAGAAGAAATACATGGATGGCACAGGCAACCTGGCAAGAAGCCTATGATGGTGAAAATCACAGGCCCTAAAGAGAATCCACTACTGATATTCTGCTACATATACAAATATTCCAACTGCCTTTTACTGATTCTCATCATACCACAGACTGGTATTGCTTTCAGCCTGGGTCTAAGAAACTCAGTTTTCAATGGACAACAGTTATTTCAGCGAGTCATAACTCCTCAAATACTGAGAACAATTAAATGCCTACACAACAGGCTATAATGGGAGTTCCATATTTCCGCATCTAAATTGCAGGGAACAATACAGAAGGGGGGGTAAAAGATTTTAAGAGCTGGAGGACAAGGAGGTGACATGTGAAAAACTCTCCTGCCATACAACATGGCCATCAGAATTATCGAAACATTACAGCCTGGCTACCTGGCCAAAACCTGCCCAAAATCATACATGAAATATGAGGACAACTGGAAAGACAACAAAACTAACCAAGCACAAGAGACACAAGTGAAATAGAAACTTGAATTCACTGAAGGAATAGAGGATGACACTGGAAGTTGGGAAAAACAGGCAGGCACATAGAAGAGAATGTATTATTGTGAAAATGACAGTGTTAAAAGATTCATATGATTAACTCAAAATTCATGTCAATCAAGCTACCCATGATTTACTTCACAGGTACAGTCAGGAGACTCCTACAAATTTACATTATTTATAAATCACAAAATTACAAAGACCCTAAGAGCGCAGAGCAAAGCTTGAGTCATCGCAGCTGTGATCTCAGAAGACACTGCAGACCACAGGAACAACAGCACCATGGCGGCGGCAGAAGAGCAGACGCCTAAAGCAGTAAGAGCAGCAGATCCAGAGCCAATCCAACCTGCTGTGACCAAGTGAATTTCACCAAAACGCCATTAACGCATGTTACTCAATAGAAAGCCTCGTCAACCAGTGTTGTTGGGAAAGGAATATATATCCACAAATAAAAATTAAAATAGGTGAAAAGCAATGAACTGGTGAAATTTGACTCTGTGCAATTGGAAAATTGCATACAAAAGGTAGTAACTGAAAGTATAAAGAAACTGCCTACACTTTCATAGTACATGCATAAATACCCAAATTTTACCAAGAAGTTTAAAAAAGGCAAAGCAAATAATACTATAATCAAGAAATAAACCAAAAAGTGACAATGCACAAAAGCTTTAACATAGCCGAAATGTAAACAGCACATGCTCCACACGATTACTGATGAAGAAAATGTTCTCTAATGTACATTGATATCTCTGTAGCCAGTCAGTATCTACATTCAAGGTGTTAAACCATAACAAACACTAGAGACAATGCAAAGGAAGACACAGACACAGTGTCATTGTGAATCAGACTCACTGAAGCCACCAGGAAAGTCAGTGTGCAGTTTTATGAAAAGCCAAACAAGAAAAAGAGAAAATACTACTCAAATTTATAATGAAATGAAATAAACTGCAAATTATCAATGAAACAGATATGCTGAAAGAGGAAAAGAAACAATACAGAAAATAACAAATTGGTATATGTTTATATTTTCCTTCAATGATTTATCGAAATGATATATATAATAGGCCTCAAACCAAACATGAAATAGGATAATCCTAAAATCAAAATATATAACTCTAATATATATTATAATAATATTTAATACCCATAAAATCAAAATGTATACTTTCTATACAAGTATTTACTTCAAATATAAAGATACAAAGTGCTAAGTGTGAAGAAATTTTTTAAAAGATTTTCTATAAAGGGGATTGGTCATGATTACGGTAGGTAACAGGAAAAGCCGAATCTATAAATATACAAAACAAAACACTTCCAGCTACAAAAGAATATTAACAAATGATCAAATGGTCCATTCCCAGAAAGATATGTGATCAACATGAATGTATTTCACAAGTTTCCAAATACATGAAGCAATCAATGACAGAATTGTATGAAGCAAATAGACAATAATACAGGGAAGCTTTGATGTCCACCACCGGGAAGCAAGATGACCATGAACAGTGCAGAAAACCAATAATGCCTAACAGTCCTACAGAGAATGATCCACTCAACATCACAAGACACCCAGCTTCACAAAATGCAATAAGTATGCTCCAGTGTGGCCCTGTCTTAAAAATAGAAAAAAATGTTCAAACTTAGTAAAGATCAATGTTTAAAGTGTCTTCTCCAAGAACCCAGAATGCTGACATCAACAGTGAATAGAACAGAGAAGAATACAAAAAAGATCTGTGAACATTGACTCTCTGATAGCATATTCTCATTCAAACATGCAAAGAAATATAAAATGATGATTATGTTCTGTAAAGATTTTAAATACTTTGTCCAATATCTTACAGGCAGTTTTTTTGAAAATGGAGAAAATCAGGAATTACTAAGATATGTAATTGTGAGAAATCACAAAGACAAAAAATAATGAGAAAAGGATCAAACCCAGTGGTAATTACAAAATATATACAAATTGTAGTGATGCAAATGGTGGAGTGTTAAAGACAGACAGTGGGATATCAAAGGGAAGACAATGTTAATGGAGTTTAGTACTCGGCAGAGATATTTAGCAAATCTTCTCAAAATTCTGCTGGTATTATTTTAGAAAATAAAGAAATTAACCTTAAAAGGCACAGAACCTTAAGGAACTACAAGATGCTTCAAAAACTCTGTGCTCAGGACCAACAAAGATGCTAAATGGTTCTAACTAAACACCATATTAAATTATATTAATGAAATCACTTAATATTGATATAACAACACAACCAGCAATGTGAATGGAAGAGGGACAGCATCACTCACATGCAAAACCAAATAAAATTAAGTTTGTCTATGAGTATTAATTCTTATAGACAGAGTCTTCAAGCACTTACAATAGGAGAATCCTAAGATTATTCTCAGTAGATTCCTCTAAAATCATTTCTAATGAAATAGAATGTGACAAAACCAACTTCATGTCCTCTTTCTACTGTCACTTGAGCCCTTCCCTATCTCTTCACCCTTTTCTCAATCCCTGTAACACACCTGGATCCTTTGGTCCTATCTCTTCTCCATTCAGGGCTCTTTGTTTTGATTCACAGGTGAGCAGGACTGACCGACCTTGTGAGACTGCATAGGAGAAAGAGATTCTTCAGAAAGTACCTGGAACTTTTCAAAGAGCAAAAACTAAAGGTGCTAATGTGGAACCAAAATAAGACCAAAATGCTTTCACCCTAAAACTAAGGCCTAAGATTTCTCCTTTTAGGTACAGGCTATGAGTTACTGAAACCAGTCAGTCCAGATTCCAGAAACC